GGTGAACTGCCGAGGATTCCCGGCGAGCTTCTGGCGGAGGATGAGCTGGGACTACACGGCCTCCATGATGCTCATGAAGATCCTGCCGAAGTTGATGAAGCCGCAGGTGAGTACCGAAGAAGGCATCAGATCCGGGAACGAGCTCGACAGCTGGCGATGACTCAAGCCAGTCGGGAAGCCATTCGCCGTTCTCGGCATGCAGCTCCTCAGCAACAACGCCACTGGGCACCTGGCCAGTGGGTTTATGTCTTCCGCCGAGCCCGAGGCAATCAAGATCTCCATCTTCGTGATCGCTGGGTTGGGCCAGGAGTGGTGGTGGTAGCCAACAACGACACCATCTATGTCGGGATGCGAACCAGGCTGTGGCGTTGCTCACCTGGTCAACTTCGAGCTGCTCTCCCAAGTGAAGTGCTGGGTCGTGAACTGGCCACCAGTCCAGGGTTGAGTGAACTTCTACGGCAAGTAGTTGCGGGCACTCATGCCGGAGCAGTAGATGTGCAGCGTGAGGGACTGCCCGGACCCGAAGATATGTTAGGCCCGGTGCATCGTATCGAGGAGGGAGTTGCCGCCGCGTCGAGTGCTCCTTCGCAACAACCGGCTGTCCTCCCATCACCGCAAGAGCTGATCCCTCCGACAGTTGAAGCTGTCCCTCCTGGACTACTTCCTCTTGGTCATCATCGCGGAGAACGAATGCACAGTATAGCTGAAGAGGAAGAGCGCCCTTCTCACGATCCCACCATGGAAGAGCTACCTCACCTGTCGAGGAGGAGCTCAGTGAATGAACCGGCATCAGAGCCGGGTGAGCAGCCTCAAGCATCTGGACCAGGACCTCCTGCACTACCTGATGATCCCAGCGTTCCTGCAGAACCTCCGCTGAAGATGGTGAGGACGACATCGCCTGAGCACGTCATGGAGAGTGATCCTCCCTCATCCTCACAACCATCTTCTGCCGCAGCTGTCGAACCAGCGCCGCCTGAAACTCGGGCTCCTGGAACGCCCATTGCAGATCTGATGAGGAGAATCCCTCGGGCTGTTTCTCCGCCACCTGGACTAGCCGAACCTCATGAAGGCGCTCACCTCACGCCTGTGGAGGAACTCCCTCAGCAGAATCGAGTTCCCACCCAAGTGGAGGAATTCAATCGGCTTGCCCAGCGCCGAGATCACGATCGTGCAGATGACTCTGGGCTGTGGGGCGAACACTGGTTCCATATCCCTCAAGACGCTTCGGCGCTATGTCTGGAGCTTTCAGGCGAATGGGTGCAGCTGCCGAAGCGAGGTGGAGAGATCTCACTGAAGGAACTGAGCCTACAGGAGAAAGAGCAGTTCGACAAGTCCGATGAACTGGAATGGTCAGCGGTGCTGGGCACTGGAGCAGTGAAGGTGATCGTGGGCAAGGCGGCATCGAAGGCCCGCGAGGACTGGCCAGATCGGATCATCTCCTCACGGATGGTCAGAAGGAAGAAGCCTCAGCCGGAGCTAAACGCTTGGAAGGCCAAGAGCCGGTGGTGCATTCACGGCCATCATGATCCTGACACAGGCACTCTATGCACTTACAGCCCTACTCCATCGACAGAGGGCCTGATGACCTTCCTACAGACTGGTCTCAACTTCGGCATGAAGTTCGCCTTCTCCGATGTCAAGAATGCCTTCTGCCAGAGTGACAAGCTCAACCGACCACGTGGTCCGCTATTTGCTGAACCATGCGAAGGACTCCATCTTCCTGAAGGAGCCCTCATTGAGATCCTGGTTCCCACCTACGGCTTGGATGATGCACCTCGAGAGTGGCGTCTGACTGTGACCCGGTTCCTCGCCTCTCTGTCCTTTGAGAAGAACCTCGTCGAACCCTGCTGGTATACGCTGTTCTCGGACAAGCGGGAGTGCTTGGCGCAGGTGCTGGTGGAGGTGGACGATTTCATCGTATGTGCTGCTCCTGATCACTATGATTGGCTGAAGTCAGAGCTCACCAAACGATTCCACTTCGGGAAATGGGAGGAGGACGAAGCCGAGTATGCGGGTCGCCACATCCGGGTGATGTCAGACAGCATCCACGTGGACCAGAGCAAGTACATCCAAGAGCAGGTGAAGCCAATACCTCTGGCCAAAGGTCGCCGATCCACTCCGGATGACCTCCTCTCCAAGGAAGAGTTCAACCTTCTGCGCTCCCTGGTCTTTAAGATCAATTGGCTGGCTCGCGAAAGTCGCCCTGAAGCCTCAGGTTTAGCATCTCTCATGGCAGGACGACTACCCAATGCTCAAGTCAGTGACGTGCAAGTGGTCAACAAGTATGTCAACTTCCTACGATCCACCCACGACCGGCCTCTAAAGATCTGGCGCTTCCACCCTGAGAATGTGTGCTTCGTGGTGTGCAGCGATGCTGGCGGCATTAACATGAAGGGCGTCGACCAGGTTGATCACGAAGGTCTACCTCTGGATGCGACTCAGGGAGCATGGATGGTGCTAGCTGCTGAACGGCTGCCGGAAGGGAACAGAGCAGTGAGGGCGTCGCCTATCACCTGGCGGTCTTCACGGCTGAAGCGGAAGGTCTTTTCGACCTTTGGAGGAGAGACCCAAGCCATGCTGCAAGGGGTCAATGAGGTCGACTGGCTCCAGGTGATGTACCGCGATGCCACCAAGCATGATGTTTCCTTGAGCTGCTGGCGCAACTCCTTGAGTCCCCACATGTTGATCATGCGCGGCCAGTGCTCCTTGGCAGACCGACAGGGTCAGTGTTCAGTGACGGACGCCAAGTCCCTGTACGACTGTTTGCTCAGGGAGAATCCGAGTGGCAAGCAAGACAGGAAGTCCGCCCTTGAGCTGGCCATCATCCTGAGGGACCTGCAAGACACCAAATCGATGGTGCGCTGGGTACCTCACCAGAAGATGTTGGTTGACTGCATGACCAAGCTGGACCCCAGCCGTGCCAATGATGCCTTGAACCAGTTTGTGAAGTCTGGCTGGCTGAGCTTGGTCGATGTCCCTACGGAGCTGAAGCACCGGCGAGATGATCCTGCCTACAAGAGGCGGAGCCATGCGGCATCATCCAAGCGCCTCGAATATGAGGAACAGCATCGGATTTTGATGTCGTTTTTCCTGAGTGCTCTGGTCAACGGTAGTTGGGGGAACTGTAATGATTCACCAGTGGACACCATGATTCCATGTTGACTCTTGACCAGAGCGCATTCCGCCATCCTGTGATGGCTCAAGATCCGACGCCCGCTGCGCCCCCTAGGAGAAACAGGGCGAGCCGCTGGGTAGGTGGGAAACGTCGTCATCATGGGATTCATACAGTGTCATGTCTGGCTGACTTATCGTGCTTCTACGACACCGTCAACTTGGACCACATCATTGAACCAGCAAGGATCTTGCAATACCCTGTGGTGCACCTCAAGCTGGCTTTGGACCTTTATTCAGGCCCCAGGACGATTCAAGCTGAAGGTATTAGTGGGGAACCAAAGCACTATCAGCGAGGCATCCTGCAGGGCTGTCCTCAGGCCCCAGCCATCTCCAAGCTGATCCTCTACAGGCCACTGAAACAATTGGTTCAACAACACCCTGCAGTAGCCTTGCAGACTTGGGTCGATGATGTGTCCTACGATGTCCAAGGACGAGATCCTGCCTATGTTGCTCAAGAAGCACTCCTGGCCTTCAAGGCGGAGCTGGAAGCTGCAGGACTCAAATTGAACACGGACAAAACGGGCTTCATCACCAGCACAAAATAAGTCAGTAAGGAACTTGCGCAGCTCCTGGGCCCTGAGGATCCAGCACACTATGATGTCCTGCGCGACCTCGGAGTGGATGCAACTGGCAGCCGTAGGAGACGGGTGATGCAGGTCAAGAAGCGCTTCACCAAGGGCAGTGCTCGCACCGGGATTCTACATCGTCTCCGTTTGGCACCCACCACCAAGTATCGGCTCCACAGAGGGGCCATCCACCCGGTGATGACATGGGGAGCCCAAGCCAATGGATTGCCTCCTCAAAGACGGCAAAAATTGAGGGTTTTTAGCCGCTAAACTCTCCGGCTACAGCGCAGTGGCTCTGTTGATGTGGTGTTCGACATGCACCCCAAGCTCCCGGACCCGGCTGACTCCATCATATGCCAACACCTCCACACCGTGTGGAAGATCTACCATGCTTTTGCAGAGAGTGCGCAACATCTTTTCTGGTCCAGCTGGAACATTGCCCTGGGTGCCCTTCTCAAGGTCCGCTACAGATGGCAGGTCGTCTCTGGCCCACTTCAGGCCCTGCAAGCTTACTTGCTTGACTATGAGTTCGACATCCACGATGGCAAGCAATGGAAGCGCACGGGCTATGGTGGAATACCAGACTGTATCCTCTCCCTTGAGGATTGCTGGCCGGTTCTGCTCCAGAAGCTCACTGAGGAATTCAAGTGGCAGCGTTTGCTCCGTTTGACCAGGTATGCGCGCTGCGGAGCTTGGGCACTGGTGCTGCTGCCGCTGCAGAGCGCTGCTGCTAGATGTCGATCGCCGTGTGCGCTTTGGAGCTTGGTGTTGGTGCCTCTGCAGGGCGCCGCCGCATGTGTATACCCATTTGCGCTTTGGAGCCTGGATGCTGGTGCGGCTGCAGATTGCCGCTGCCAGATGCTTATGGCAGTGCGCGACTTGGAGTGTGGGTGCAGTTGTTATGGTGCCCACAAATATATTTTGCTATCTGGGGTCTATGCTGGCATCTTGCAGACATGATGAATCACAGCGTTTCACGGCTGGGCGCACACTCACACTGTACAGTCACAGGTGTTTCTTCCGCATCTATGTTTGGTTGTTCAGCGTTGTTGCTGGGCTGCTTGTCCGATTGGGTGCCATTGCTCGGATTCCGAACCCTGTGGATCCCTTGGTGGGTGAAGCGCAAGTTGCAACACAAGGGACCTGAAGAGACCGTAAAGGACCTTGAGACTAAAGGACGTTGCAGTTTCAACTCATGCGATATTTGTGGTTCGAGAAATTAACTTCCTCAAAGGGGCATTCTTGAAAAACGCGCTTGCCATGGCAGAAGAATCTGAAAGTTCAAGGGAACGTGCCTTGAGCGCCTTGGCATTCCTACTTCTTGTGTTTGGCCTGGCTGCGCTGCTACAAACATGGGGTTTCCTCCGTGTCACACATGCAACTTCTGCTAGAGTGGTTGCAAGAAGCGAAAACACATTTGGCATACTGCAGCACAGTCATCAAACCCCTCATGGTCCTTTTGCGGTTGACAATCACCAGGGTACAAGTTTGCCCTTAGAAAGACACAGAGAAGTGCCAAGTCCAAGTAGTGATGAGATTGCAAAGATGCTGCAAGAGACCAAAGCAGCAAACAAACAAGTCCAAAGCGGCTATGGATCAATTCTCGAAGCACTTAAAACGCTGCAGCAACAGACCTCTTACGCGAAACCCGAGAAGTGTGACTCTCCGCGGAAGCTAGTCTTGGATAGATGCATTTGCCCGGCAGGGTCGAAGTGGGACGGCAGCACTTGTGCTCAGAGTCTTGATGAGATGTCCTTTTACATGTACAGAGCACAAAATGATCACAATTATGTCATGGGCAATGTCGACATGGCAGACTTGGCTGGTGTCATGTACTACCTACACCACGAAATTGTGAAAATCAATGCGACGCCTGGGGTCAGAATGAACGGAATCACGAGGATTCTTAGATTCTTGGTCACTGTGCGGCCTTCCAACCAGCTTGTCAGGCAAATGAAAGCGTTTATGCCCTTCGTGGCATTTGATCTCGGCAAATGTTCTGTGCCTGGCTGCAACAAACTTTGGGATCACTATGGCTTTGCAGTTGGATGCCAAAAGCAAGGCGCATCTACAGGCTTTGCCTATACGTCTTCAAACGATCCTTCTGGTGCGTGGTTTTCTTTGCCTGCGGCCTGTCCGGCTTTACCGATTGGAAAAAAGGATCGGGGAACAAATTTATTTTGGAGGGTTTTCGTACAAAGACATGTTGTTTTGAATGTTGGAACATATAAGTCTCGCAATTTGAGTTTGATAGAACAAGTCTATATTTTTGGACCCCGTGATAGATTGTTTAGTTATGTGTTATTTGCATTTTGCAAGCGTTGCTGGATCAATGTTTCAACCCACTGAAATTATTCACGTCAAATAATGGGATCCAAAAATAGAATTATTATGCGCAATAATAAAGTTGTTTGCCGCTGCTTTCAGAGCACAAAAGTCTTTTTGGTACCAAATTATGTCCACATGGAGGTATTGTTGAATGGAAGACAGAAAGGAGCGTTCTCAGCGAACGTTTGCGTTCTGTCATGTGGTCATGTGATCTGTGTTTTGTTTCTATCAGTTCATCGCTCTCTTTCTCATTGTTTTCTCTGCACCCTTGCTTTCTGTGCCACTAAAAAGTTTGATGGTTCCAAAAAGATTGTGACAGGACTTTGCCTCAGCCCTTCTTCCTCTCAAGGGGAACTCTAAAAACAATTGTGACCGGACTTTGCCTCACCCCCTCTTCCCCCGCGCATGGCTTGCGCATATTTTTTGGTATTTTCTTGGAAAGTCAACTGTCCCATTTGGCCAGGCTTGCAGGCTACATGGCGACTGTGCTATTCAAAGCCCACTCAAGTCTGACAACCGCGCGGTGCTGGGTATTGGGCGCCGGCGCCGGTGCTACCAGCGCCGGCCGCTCATGCCGGGCACTAGTGCGTTTGGGCGCCGGCGCTGGGTGCTGTGAGCTGGCTGTGCACGTGGTGAGTGGTGGAAACAGGGCGCCGGTGCTGGCGCTGGCTGTTCGCGTGGTGGAGACAGGGTGCTTGGAAAGCTGGCGAACTGGGGCAGTTGACTTTTGGAGCCAACATGGTTCCGCGCTCTCATTCCAAAGCTGTGGGTGTGGTGGATGGAGCTTTGCGTGAACATGATGTTTTTACGATTTAGTTTATGACCTGAAAAGAATACATTTCATAGGTTTATGATTTTTTATGAATTTGAATTCTGTATTTCTAGTGCCCGGAAATGTTCCTGGTTTCAAATCGCATTTGGATGAAGAAATAATCTGCAATTGTTTCTGCACTGGGGTGTTCTTGGGCGGTAGGACAGTGAGAACGATATAGGTTGACAACGCCACTGGGTGACTCTAGGGCCAGGATTGGAAAACTGCCGTTGGTGCGCAGTGCGCGAGAATGACAGGACTTTTGTGACCAGTCAAGATTGTGAACTTTAGCGGAAGTAGTGGTCGCGTAGGAACGGTAGGACGCTGTAGGCCGATGATGCAGAAGTATCCAAGACAGTTGCTGGTGTTTTTGGTTCTGCGCTGCCGTGACAAGGTTTGCTTTTTGTGCCTTTATTTTCGCGTGGACATTGAGGACGAACTGCTAGCTGTGAACTAGCCAGCAGCTAGCAGCTATAGCTGCTAATTTCACCAGCGCTAAGTTTGCTGCAGCTTGTTCCAAGTAACTTCTTCACCCTCCTACCTTATATATATAATTTAGTTGAAGCGTAGGACCAGAAGACGAAACAATTCGACGCAGACGAAAGTTGTTGGGGGGAGCTACAGCTAGGGCCCAAGAGTGATTCGGCGCTCGAAGGAGTTACTGTTGCTGAAGCTGAACAGTCCAAGCCGACTTCTGCTGGGCGTCGAGTTGAAGCAAAACTGGAACTACTGCTGACCGTGCCGCCTGCGAGGCCAATTAGAGAACCCTAGTGCCGCAGAGCTGCTCGGCGATTCTTGACGACTAAGTTCTTTCTCGCTCAAGATAGCGACTTGCGACCCCAAACAGTTCAAGACCACCAACCCCAAACAGCTCCAGGCCAGCAGCCCCGAAACTTGAACCCTAGTCTCAACGCGTGGGCAACCCCTGTCGAGCGATGACGCGTAGGTAGCCAGGTTTTCGCGCCATAAAATATCATTTAAAAATCATAAGCGACATCGTAAAAAATCACAAGAAGCATTTAAAAATCATAAGAAGTCACACAAAACAAGAAAATTTGTGAAATATATGATTTGTTTAAGATAATATATGATTTTTTCGATTTTGTTCATGATTTGGTGGTTCTTTTGATGTTTTTATGTTTATTATGGTTGAATTTAATGTTTTTTATGGCCTCCACACGAGGCGGCGAAGCTAACACACCTCCAGCAGTGGGCCTCCAGTATGTTTCTAACCCTACAGGTTGGCGTTTCCCCGCTATTTCTCCAGGCTGAGACGCAAAGCCTCCGGACTCTGGGCTTCGGTCAACTAGCGAGACTAGCGGCAGGACGGCCTGTAAGCCGCTAAAGACAATAGTCAAGTCTGCGAACACAGCAGATTATGCTTTCAAGTGCAAGTACCTTGCACACCTCTGCTCGTACTTTCGCTCCTAATTACACAGGGCCAACAGCTTGCCGCCCAGTCCAAACCCTTGCCCCACAAACCCAGATGTCATAGTGGCAAGTAGGGGCCCTTTCCGCGCGCCAGACCTTTCAACGTTGCGCAATGTATTTTATTGGGCTGTGCGCTGGGCGCTGCGTCGCCAAAATGTTCGACGGTTCGACGCCCCACAAACGCCCCGCAAAGCGGCGACGACGTAAACGACCTCTGAAGGCAGTCTTTGGGCAGTCTTGGCTTGAGGCGGGCTGATTTACTGTGGATACGGTCAGCCAAAATAGAGACGGTTAAGTAATAGGTTAAGAGGTGAAAGTGATTAGGTCTTTTGTAGCGAGAACACCTGTGCGTCAACTGTTCTGCTTTCTTCTGGCAGTGCAGTGCGTGGGGGCTTGAGGAATGATTTGGCATGTAGAACCTTTATTCGCGCGTTTCAAAACTACTTGTGGCTGTGGAATTTCAAGCCTTTAAGGATTGATCCGGAGTGTTTCGGAATGCGAGTGTGTGTGTGTGTGTGTCCCACCCTGGACAAAGGGTTTTTCCACCACCTTCACTC